TATCCATACCTCTTGTGTTTCTTCTGCTTATTTGCCTGTTTTTCAGTTTTGGATGCTTTTTCTCCTGACTTGTCCTTCTCCTTAGATGTCTTGCTATGTTTCTTTGATTTCCCTCCCTTGCTTTTTAAGTCGAGGCCCTGTATAAGAAAATGTATCATGAGAAAACAGATCATTAGTTTGACATTTCTCCAGTGTTCTTAAGATGTGTCCAAGGAGACAGAAAGATAGAGTCATAGCCACCAAACTCTTTGGCAAACTCAGGATCATCTGAGACAATTATAGGTAGGTAACGGTGAATTCCTGACTGTCTGGAAACCAGGATCAATAAGGAGTAAAGAACGCATATTTAAAAATTAACAGTGAACTAGTCCAAGAGATTTTTTGTGAGACGTAAAAATTTGAAGGAAAAAACAACCACAACAGAAAAGGAACTCATTCACACTTACATCAAGATCTCTGCCCAAGCTGTCTGACGAGTATGCTGACTGCGACCAGGAGGGAGGAGGGGGTGGTGGAGGCATGCCCAGATCCTGAGAATGACCTTCACTGCCTGTCATGCTGCTGGAGAGAGACGCAGTTTCCGAGGCCATGTTGTGTCCCGTGTCACTGTCACGTGGAGAGGACGAACCAGTAGAAGATGTCAACCCAAGTTCGGCTTGGAATGCTGGAGACCGCAGAGCATTGAGGACAGCCATGATTTTCATCTTTTCCTGCTCAGAAGCAGACTGCAGAGCACCTGTGGGAAATGGTCATAGTAGATTCTTATTCCTAATTTACAGTAATTTACAATATGATGTAACAAAAGCATTTTTTTTACTGGTCTATCTGTTAATATAATGATGACAATAAGAACTTTATTTTCTATGCCTGAAAAACAATCTAGCCCTCTGTTATTCACCTTAAAAGGTAAAAGTTCAAAAACCCTGCCTAAGGTTTAACATTGAGCCACCTGTTAGCGGGTTGATCAAACGTATATGAATATAGAAGGCTAAATAGGTCAATAAAAATTTTTTCTCTGCGAGAACACTCTCACTTAAAATCATTCAGCATGTAAAATAAAGGCCAAGAAAGTAGCTAAGACACTGCTAAACCAGCTCATTAACAAGCCCAGCTAGTTTTTCTGACCTTGGCAGCTCCAAAGTTCACCCAAGTCCTTGTTTCTGTCTGAAATATCAGCCTGATTTAAATTATCTTTCAGGTAGTGAAATTAGGTGGCAGCATTCCTTAGTGACATCCCTGAAAGATTATTGATCTCACCTTGGATTTCCATTTCGAACAAGTCCTCCTCTTCAGGGTGGAAGCGCCGATAAATCTCAGAAAGTATAACTTCGCGTTCATCGGGTGAATTGATACCAATCTCCTCTGGAATTAAACAAAGGGAGACAAACTTTAACAAAACAAGTATAACTGCTATGTGGTCAATAATATAATAAACACAGTCAAATAATTATAATGACAGAGGTATAATGTACAGAAATATAACCAAGTGGAAACAAAATGAATTCTTTCGTCAGCCTTACCACAGTGTGAATTCTCCTTTCAGACTGGTTCCATTTACTTTATTATCAGTGCCAAAAATTTGGTGGTACATGTATGTAATATACTTTGCTGGTTATTTCTTGGTATATCAAGTTGTTTAGGCATTGAGAACATAAGGAAAAATTAGAGAGTTCTTAGAAATTTCAGGGTAAAGCACCTACCAAGCAGCTGGAAATTTACGTTCTTTAACACTTTGCCATCCACATGATGCTCTGGATGTGAAAGAAAAAAAATCTTACACATGTAGATACAAAGCTTGAAATTTGAAGGACAAAAAGGAAGTAATAAAAATTAGTTTTACACGCAACAGTTTACAGGTAGCCTTATTTTGGATCAAGCTTTAGTGCATAAAATAATAATACATAAAAAACATGCTTTACATAATACAACTGTTATTGAAAACTTGATATCATAAACACCAAGACATTGCAAGTAAATTTATGATTTGAGATTGAATGTCAGTCAAGTGATCATAGTCATCTGAAATGGCCTGAGATAATAGCTTCATATTGCTACATAAGTTATTTCAATTTTATGAAGGATTTATTTAGAAAAGAGTAGCATTTTCAGGACTTGAAAGTAAGTTGAATTCCAGCTTGCCCTTGGGACAAGTAGCTCTCAAATTTTGCTTGCCCTGGGTAAGTCTTAGTTTGCTCTTTTAATGATTCAGTTGGCAGATGTTGCCTAATCCCTTGCCCATTGGGCAAGTGAGAGTGAAAAGTTGCCTGCCCTGAGGGAGAATCTACTTGTCCGGATGACCGGACGGCACTTTTTTTGAGCTTAACAACCGCATCATGCTGTATGGAAGATGGGTGCCTGGGATATCCAGGGCCTCGACTGTGACCAGCTGACCCCTAGACAGTATAATGCTCCCTTGGCTGGCAATCCCCGCAACCCAGCCATGAACCCCCACGCTGTGGGAGGGGGGCGGGGGGGAGGGCAGAAAGACGTCGATGAACAGACCAAAGATGTGCAGGAAACTGCTCAATGCTACGACCAAAACGTTGGGACCACCACACTGGAACATGCTAGTACAATGGCAAAGTGCGCTGAGCCTGCAATACCATACAAATACTGCTGACCAGAAGTACAAGTTACTCTTTGTTGTTAACTTTGTTAAATTGCATTTAACAGCATCCTGATTTTGTATGAATTAGGTTAACTGTGACACTGGTACTGCTACAAAAGGAGCATTGTGTAATGAAACAAACCTCTGAACTCTGGTGTAAAATGTCCTAATCCAATATAGTCAAGCCACTCCAAACAGTCATCTTCAGTCCACACTTCTAGAGCAAGATTGTGAAATCTGTTATCATCTCTTGGCTAAAATCAAAACAAGATTTATTAAGAAAACTTCTTAACAGTGTAATTTTCATGTGGGGAAAAAATCAGTTGACAGCACCACACATATATAACTTATAGCTCGGTAGCTTCAACTGAGTGTAACACATCTGGATTTTAATTCCCAAAACATTACAAATAACATGTGTTTAGCATCAACACTCCTGCACGAAACTGCTGCTCTAACTTTCATTTGTATGATCACCCACAAACAAAAAGTTCAAATTACTTTGAATAGCTTAATAAACAGGAAAGAACCAAGTACTTGCTCAGTACCTTTCATTTGACTGCTTACACACTCAAGGACTCTGTCTTGAGTTCACACTTAAAACTTAGAAACACATTTACATGTGCTTCAGCAAGTTTGCCTCTTCACTTTACAAGACTGTTTTTGCGATTGGCAGCACACTTAATGCTGCGTCAATAATTATTTGTTTTGATTCCCAGTGAAAGTTTCCATTCAAAGGAAATCTTCCGTAACTTGATGATCAGTGCCCAATAACAACCCATGCACTACAAAGCTGTTTTCTTGGGTAACTTAACCTGCTCTTCCAGAAGAGAAGACGGAATGACGGGTGATGGCAAATCACCTTCGTAACCATTCTCCATTATGAATGGTTCCTCTAATTCTTCTTTCACTTCTCCCTCATCAGAGCTAAAATAATAAGTTCACAATTAGCATATTTGCTTGTTTCTGCAACAACAGGACATGGCAAAAGAG